AGGTACATAGAGGATGAAGAATACTACAAAGGTAAAAGAGACACTCTTGAACTAACACAAATGTTTCATGCAATAAACATAAAATATCAGCTAGATTTATAAAATACTTTAACTGTAAACGCTTCTGTTATGTTTTTCCTATATTTTGATCTTGTTCACATTATTGTTTTAAGTCATGTAATAATTTTGATCAGAATTTTCGATTAAAGGATCTATACAGTTAAACCACAGTCTGTTATGTCTCCTTGTCAATAGAAAAATAAAAGAATATTTAAAACAAATACACAAATTAATCAACTTATTTGGAAAAATCTTTAAAAACCATGGCTTTGACTATCTTGACTATAATACAGTGTGCTAATTTCTTTGCAGCATCTGTGACCCGATTACCAATCAAGTGGATGGCCCCAGAATCCATTAATTTCAGGCGTTTTACCTCAGCTAGTGATGTGTGGATGTTTGGTGAGCTTGTTACGCATTTACCTTCAACAGCACGGTGACATATTGAGGGTTTGGTGCACAAGAGACTAAGAAACACTCGCACATAGAAAAAGGTCAGGTTACTGGTTAATAATCAACCGAAACAAGGGCTACACAGTTTTATGACGAGGCAGGGATTATTTAAGCTGATATGACTCTACATTACAGATAGCGTGCACACACACATAACAGTGGACTCTGTTATTCTTCTTTTCTTTGTTTTGCTTTTTTAGCTCAAACACTGATGGTTTACATGGGGGAATTTTAAACCACAGAAGGCTCAGAATCCCAACCTAACAGCCTTTCATGTGTATTTACTCCTAGTGCTTTTACAAAAATACTGAAACACTGGCATCCTCTGACCTTTGAGGCCTAAGAGAGTGAGGAATTACCTTTATGATGCCTGACTATTTGATATCCTCCCCTAATGTAAATCAGCTTTTCTAAAACATAAACAAACACAAGGCCTGGGACCCTGAATTAGCCTGACAAAGACTCCAATATGGCCCACTGGACGACTTTGGAAAATGTGAAGAAGGGCATAAATTTTAGCCTTTTCCTTCCTACTGATAAAGACCATGGCCATTCACACTAAACCAATGCAAATAAGTAATAGAGTTCCTGCTTTTTCATTATATGATATTGTAACCCAGAGTAAAATCCTGCACTTATTTCCCACCATTGAACGCATCGCAGGTACATGACTCCAACCACATGACATGTATTTATTAATTACTGCCCATCAGCTCCAGTAGCATTCCTAAATCTTCTGATTAATAATGACCATAATATTTCACTCAGTACCTAGCCTGTATTAATTCATTAGCGCTTCCTCAGTGTTACTTAAAATT